AGTAGTTAATGTGTAAAAATAGTTACATGCTGTTATTGGAAATAAATAACATCGTGCATTTTTCTGTATTTCAGTGAGTCCGTGGATTGCTACAAAGGGACCGTGTTTATAAATTTCACTTCCCCTTACTTAAGAAACCAACAGTTTTTATCTAAGCTATAGCAAATGTTTAGTGTCAAACAGATTTGCCTAAATAAAACTGTACTTTTTAGGCCTCTCACAGTATTGTGACAAGAAAAAAAATTAAGGGGAAAAAAAATTGGACTATTGATGACAATTCTCTGGACTTGTCTGTGTTTTGTGCAGCAGCAGCAGCTTTCCTTGGGGCAGACCTCTATCCATGCACATCCCAGCCTTCGCCTGCCGCAGAGCAGACCCCATCCTGTAAGGGAGAGCCTGAGGAGCCAGTGTGCTCCTGGAAACTTTCGTGTCTGCGTGTGTGTCTGCCAGAGAGGGGGGAGAGAGGGAGACCTAGCACAAAGGAAAGTAAGGGAGGAAGGCAGGGGAGAGAAGGGAGCTTGCTTCATGCACTGTTGAAGACTGTCAGAAGCAGACCGTACAAGCAGCGTGCTGGCTGGTGTGCAATTTAAGGGACAACGTTCATTGACTTTATTCATTGAATTGCTGAAGGACAGATATGACATCCGACTGCTGCTTCTATATGTTCTTGCTTATTGGTACCAAGGGTAAGTGTATCTGGCTTTTTTTTTTTCTCGTTTTCAACATTGCAAAGCAGATAGCTGATAAACTTCAGTAGTGGATTTTTTTAAAAACTATGATATCTCAGTGTTATTTTACAGTTCTTCATGGCAATTATTCTTTGATAGAGTCAAAATGTAATGCAGTCTCTCAAGGTTACTAGCTACATGTAAGGATCAAATATTTTTGTAGTTAATGCTTTGAGAGTTATTACTAATAGTTATGAGCTGAAATTAAAAAAATAAGAAACAGTTTAAACATTGCATAAATACTTGCTGTAAATATTTAATGAAGGTACATATAGAACTGAGTCATTTCAGATGCCTTGAAATCCACATTTTAGACTCAGTTCAGTAGTTTGTAGCGATACTGTGTGGTGCTACTAGAATTGGTAGTTCTCAAAAAGTAGATTGTGTTCAGGCAACAGGAATTTTTACCCTCTGGTTCAGCATGATAGGCAATATAGCATGCAAAATGGAGACTGAAATAAACTTAAGTTTTCCTTCAGATGCAAATCCCTTCAGTGTGGTGGGAGTTACACCTGACCTTCTCCTTACTTTAGTAATGTTTTCTTCATTCCATTCGAGTACCCTGTTTGAAAGTGCTGCTTTTGGCTTGGGTAAAGCTGTCCTTGTGAAGCTGCTGATACTGATCTATACATTGGATTTTCCTAATGATTATAATTTCCTTTGTTGTAATTTTTATATTAAAAATTGGGTTTTGTTGCACTATGTCAATACTAAAATAATATTTTATTAATTTCGTAGATGAAATAGCTACTCTTTGCAATACCAACTGTCTTATTAAACTAATAGGAGCATAAGGTTGAATTCTGCCACCTTCTCTATTGAACAATAGCTTGCTCTCTCTCCTGCTTTTAAATTAAACCTTTTTTGGGTTTATGTCTGCATATTATGCTGCTTAGCATAACATTTGTAGGGGATATTGCCCATGTTAGGATTTTGGAAAATAGAGCTCTACTTACAGTTATTTTTATGGTTGCAAAGCTTAGTTAAATCTGTGGAAAAACTCTAAGCAGTTCTATCGTGTTTTGGAGGAATACATAACGTGAGCTGCAAGCATGAAAAAACAGTGATATTAATGTATTTGGAATTAAGCAGGCTATGGTAATGAGATCTTATCAAGCCTGTGAGCTTCCTATGCATCTGTGTTATCCATGAGCAATAATCCAATATTTAGAAGTACTACTTCAAGGTATGCAGAATAAAAGCTAAAGGATTTCAAACAAATTAAGGCTTTCACATTACTGCTTTCTATATCAAAACAGTAAAATGTTGAAACGTTCATGCAAGATGTGCGAATTATTATTGGCATCATTTCTGCTGGGTTAAATTCATCTCAGCTGTGGAATTTATAAAACGTATCAAAATATATCCAAGCATATTGCAAAATAGGATAGCAGATGAGGACTGTGAATGACTACAGGCCTTCTAGTATTACAGTTATGATGGCTATTACCTTTTAAGGTGTTTATTGGCTCATCATATATAGCATATTATAACACTTATAAGAAAACCACATGGCTCATCTAGATTTGTTAAAGAGAGAAACAGTGCACTCATAGGTTAAAGCGCATGCATGCCTGGAGTCTCTGCCACCTGTTAGTGCTCTGTTTTGCACCAAAATGGGTTCCTGTTTAGTGCCACTCCTAACCTCGCTCAGCACACAGTTCATAGCTTCACTGCCTTTCAGAGTTCTAGCCGGCAATCTGAATTGTAACCACGTATTGGTTTTCATCCAACAATATTTGATTTCATCCACACAATAGATTTAAACTTTGTTCAAGTTTTTAGGCTAGCTGATATTAAAACAAACGCTCCTGAAGTAAGCATAATTGTGCTTAGAAATTGAATTTGTGGTTTGTGGACTGCTAGAAGTTCAGTGGTATTTTGTTGTGTTTGTTTTTTTTTTAATTTCTACAACTCACAGATGCTTCTAATTCTTCAAAAAATAAAATGAGAAATGTCTATCATACAAAAACTACTCTTGCTGACTCATCCATATCAATTCAACCTACATCTGCTTAGTTTTTCATTCACCAGCTAAAGTTGCACAAAAATAATTCCAATAGCTGTTTTATTTTGCTCTCTTCCTTCAGATTCTTCATTAAATCTTTTTACACGAAAAGCTTTCCTTCCAAAATCCAAATAATAAAACTAATCCAAATAATCAAGCTTTTTATGCACCAGCAACTCTTGGCAACTGCCTGACTACTTTCCCGTGTGGCATATACTATACCAGATAGGGGGTTTCTTTGAAAACAAAGCAGCATCTATACCATGGTTTTCACCAGCGCAACAGAATCAGTTGTAACATAGAGAAAAGTAAATTTCAGACTCCTGTCGTGGAACGGGCAGCATTGGATGGGTAGCCAGGATAAACATCCGCCTGGGTGGCTCGCCCCCCTTGTGAAGCTAGCAGGTCACTTAGGCATGTGGCTGGCATTGTACTGGCTGCTGCCACATCTTCTCTCTTAGTAAAATAATCAACTGTAATCACTGCAACAACCATGGTGCACATTTGTGCCTTTAGAGTAATTTTGATTAGCTTTCTGGAGACAAAAACTATTTCGTCCTCCTGGACTTTGGCTAAGTGACAGACTCTCAAACAATTCATTTATCAATCATTAAGAAAAACAGAAGAACATTAGTATCTAAAAGTATTCAGAAGGGATTTGGCAGGCTCCTCCTGGAAAACAATTGAGACTTACTATTTTAACCCTGTATGCTCTGTGCCCCTACCTGAAGTTTTCCAATCCTATTTCTGCTTGTGCCTAAGTTCCCATTCCCTCCTCTTTCTGTTCTTCCCCTCATTATTTTTTTTCCTTCCCTTACCCTCGCTTCAAAATGCCAAGGAAAACTTTCTTAAAACCATGTGAAACTTGTTAGCCCTTCTGGTGCTGCATGCACGTGACAGCTGTTTTCAAGGCCAAGATCTCTTATACCAAATACTTTCTGTCAAATGTGGGAAGGACACCATCCCAAACCGTTTGGAGAACTGCAAGTTTATGATTGGGCAGGACAGTGCTCTTGTTTACATAATCTGTAACAAATTTTAAGATCCCTTCCAGATTTGTAAATAGGACAGTGAAATTACTTCAGCCTTTGCACAAGCTCAAATAATCATTGTGTAATAATAATTTTTTGTTATTTTTTTTTCTTTCATTTAACTTGGGCATTAATCTGACTGGCTTCCCTGTGGCTAGAAGAATAATGTGCATCTTGTATATCTATGTGTACAAAAAAACCTAATATCTTTATAGAAAATCAGGGAGGAAGACTAGATTTCCTGAGGAAAATTTCCTCTATGTCAGTTAGAGGGCAGTGAAAAGTCTACACAATGATAAACTGAAGCTCTGAAAGTTAGATCATTGTCATCTGCACAGGCTGGTCTGCCTGCAACTGCTGCATGGGCAAGCATGCTTTCACCTCTCCATTAACAGCACTAGGGGCTACCCAACTTGCAAACCTGTCTTGACTGTTTATAGCATCTCTACCAGACTTGAACCATTTGCTCTGAAATTTATATGCAATGTGGACTTCTTCACCTTGAGCAAGAATACAAGCAAAACTTTACCAAAATCATTTCAATTTTTCAGAAAGTGAGGAATTGGTACTTTGCCTATGTTGAACGGTTCTGGGAATCTTGTATTAAGCAATGCCTTTTCTTAAATGAATAAGGACTTCTGCAGTATTCCTCTACAAAATCATTGTGTCTGAGAGAGAGTCCTCTGACAGGCCATCCCACTAGAGCTAATGAGCCTGTTCAAGCCTAGTTGCAGTAGTGTAAAAATTAACCTCCTCTAATGGAAGTTCCTGGATGCTAGAGACCAGTGTGAAAGTCATCAGAGGAACTGTCACCAGTGATCTCGATGAGGGTTTCCTGGTGGTGCTGTGTGTCCTACACTTTGAAGCCATCAAATCAGACTTTGAAATGACTGGTTCAAGATGGGGAGGTGTAGGAAGCTGAGAGGATCAGGAAGTCTTATTGGTTGCGTCTGAAAGACAGAGAAGGTGAAAATGTATTGGGAAGGACTGAGCGAGGAGACTGAAATAAGGGGTTAAAGGGAGAGGAAAGTGGGGCAAGGGAGAAGACAGGTGAGGGAAAAGGTTAACACTACTTAGAAAGGGAAAATGGAAATCAGAAAGGCTATTAGTCTGGAAGGGTAGAGACTGAGGAAAGGGATGTGTGAGAGGGAGCCAGCAGGGAACAGTGAAATAATTAAAGGAAAGGACAAGGAGCTCTGAGAGAGGGGAGTGTCTGAAGAATAAAGTCAGAGGATGGGGAGACCAGAACTAGCACCCTATGCGGACAGGAGACGAGAGGATGGGAAGCAGGTAGTGATTAGGCAAGAAAGGATGGAAGTGAGGTAAGCAGTCAGGGCAAGAAAAAGATGAGACTGAGCAGAAAAAGGAGCTGTGCTTGGTGGGGTGAGCACTGTGCTACAAAGCTGGAAGGAAGCTCAAGATTGTCCTGTTGCTTACTGTCTCCTTGCAAAATGTCTCCTCCTGCGTAACACCTCTGCTCAGAGGCTGGTAATTAATGCTATTGGATCACTCTACCCTCTCAAATGCCAAAGGTCTGGAGAGCTAAAGGATCTGAACTAGTGATGCAGCATGATGTCATGTTATGAAATGTCAGAGGAAAACTGATTTCCTCTTTTAATAGTCCAGGATGTTACCTATATCAAAGTACATTATTAATTTTGCAAACTCGGTGCTTAGGAATCAAGACGAAGGATGCAATCTTCATTTGTCCTATGTGGACATACTATGTTTTCTTCATGCTATTGCTACACAAAAACTTGTGCTTTGTGTACTGCATTCAAAGAATGAATTAGAAACGTATAGTGAATTACCTATCAGTACTTAAAGGGGGCTTATAAAAAAGATGGGGGCAAACTTTTTAGCAGGGCCTGTTGCAACAGGACAAGGAGGAATGGCTTTAAACTAAAAGGGGTAGATTTAGCCCAGATATAAGGAAGAAATTTTTTATGCTGAGGGTGGTGAAACAGTGGAACAGGTTTCCCAGAGAGGTGGTGGATGCCCCATCCCTAGAAACATTCCAGGTCAGGTTGGACGGGGCTCTGAGCAACCTGATTTAGTTGAAGATGTCCCTGCCCACGGCAGGGGGGGTTGGACTACATGACCTTTAAAGGTCCCTTCCAACCCAAACTATTCTATGATTCTATGCTGCCTGTGTGATTCCTTATTCATTTGATGTAGAAGATAAAATGTGAATGAGGCTGGGGATTACAAAATGATGGCCATGTGATGAAGGCAACTGAACTCTGCTGTGGAAAACTGATTTCTGTTCCTGTTTTGTAACATAGACAGTGGTGCTCTAAATGCTTTGTAAATGGATAATAATTATATGGCAGGTTTTTTAGTCTTTTTGGCTTGATCATCCTGATGTGGTAGTGCTCATTTCACAGCTGCCAATGAAATCTGTAAAAGCTGTTCTTTAAGTAATCTTTGAAGCTGATTCTGAAAGTAGGAACCTAAAATTAGCAGAAACACTTGCCATATGTATGTTAATGTCTCAGCTCCATGTCTGAGCAATAATACCATATTCTAAACTGTAAGCAATCTGTGAAAACTTAAAAATGGGAAGTCTAATTATTGTAGCTGTATGATCAAACTAATGAGGAATTTAATATTGTAATTTGTAAGTGGTTAGACTGTAGACTAAGCAGCAGGATGTCAGTAATCCATTGGAAGACTAATCAAATTGTAGGTAAAATGCCTGTAGTAGTATATGGATGTGTGTTTGTAGAAATGTATGAAATTTAAAGATCTGTGTCAGAATTTGAATGTATGTTGCTAATAACTGATGCTGTACATAAAGAAGTGACTTTGTATATGCAAAGAATTAATGCACAATATTATGCTTGCTACCTGCTGTGTTGCCCCCAATGCTTGTGAGGGATCCAGCATGCAGTTGACTTGTGTGACAGGGCAAGGTACACATACCAGGAAGAATCACTGATAGGAAAACATGGGTTTGAGTGAGTCTCTGGAGCCATCAGCTGTGGCCTGTCATGGAATGCTGGCCCTGGGAGGGCAAGTTGTCCCTGTATACCTGATGTCAGGGGAAGAGGGCAGCCGGGCGGTGGGGAGGAAGAGCCCAGCAGCAGCTACACTGATCCTGCGGGACTTGTGCATGTGAGATCACTTAGAAGAGTTTATCCAGAGAGGACATCAAATCACCCAGTCCTGTATGCCACAGGTGATTGTGTTCCACCTGCGTACTCTGTAGCAATCCCAAGGCTTTATTTGGTCAAAAGGTTTATTCTCAGTCAAGTAATTGTTTCCTCTGGAGAAGAGCAAGTGCCTCTACGGCGCTAAGAATGGCAGAGGCTGTATGGTGACTGAGACTCGAAGATGTGTGTAGGTCTGTCAAAGCAGGCGAACATTGACTCTTTCTCCTCTGCTCTGCAGAGAAAATAAAAGTGCTGATCTGAGTCTGTGCTGACTCAAGTCACTGACTACAATCGCCGAGGCGAGCAGCTCCAGTGCCAGCACGATCAGCAGTGGAGTGCTCCAGTGTGGTGTAGAGGGGGGTTTCCCAAACCGGGGGAACCTCAGGGGGAAACGAGAGAGCCACCAGGAGCCCGCAGCTCATGCAACAGCGGCTGACAAGACTTGGGCTGGGCCAAGAGGAATGGCAGCCAAGCCCCCACACAAGTATAAAAGAAGCCCTTAGGGAGCACTAGGAACCAGGAGCACCACCAACGGGGCGTGGCGTGGCAGTAAGGACGTGGCGTGGCAGTTTGCATGGCAGTTTGTGCAGAAGGGCTTGCAGTAAGGGCACTGAAACTCTGCCAGCTCAACCAGAGAGCAATGATGTCCACCCAGCAGAAAGCCATGGCCTCTCTAAGCTCTGCACCCACCACAC